AACACCTTCTGAATTGCAGACGAACCTGAACATTTTCTGAGCAGTTGATACCATTACAGACAGTGCTGCTGTGTACTTGTTTTGAACATCAGTTACATAATAGAATGCATTTATGTATATCAGTAGCTTGCTGACCTATAATCCCAGAACCCCATGTATGCTGCAAATTATGAACGCAGAATCGATACAGACGTGGCAGCTCCATAGTTGTCACACATTACAAACGGAAAAGAATCAACCACTTTGTCTCTAGAGGCGGTGAAATGAAAATAGCACAGTAACTTGATCAGCAATATTGGCGTGGCCGGCAGGAATAACCCCTTCGTTCATGATAGCTTACTGGTTCAGTCAGGGTTAACAGTCAAGTAAATGTCAAGGAAATGCAGGTTCTCAAAGATGATATACCTACAGATCCTATCATAATGATACAGTCAAATAACATTAGTTTACTTTGAAGGTATTTGGTAGAAGATAAGACGTGTATAAACTTACACGGAGTAGGGGAATAAACACATTCCAGAAAACAATTTCGTAAACAAGAACAGAGTGATACTATTACTTTGAACAGTTGGAGAAATGATGACGCAGATAGTATGAAATCAACGTCGATGTTAAGATTCATAAGATTAATTTGGGGCACTATTCGTACATTTGAGGAATGGTTTTTCTGCCTAATTGACAATGTTGTATGTTTCGGGAAAGCCGCTGAGACATACAAGAGTTATTCGCTGCATCTCAATCGTAAATATACTCCTCAGAAAAAATTAAACAACACAAATTCTAAGTTCATTAATTGAAATTGCAAACCATGGAATGATGCAATAGAAAGGTGAAATACTTGTACACACGAGTAACAAAATTAAATGAAATGGTATTGAGCAATAATAAACTTACAAAATCATCAAAAGCATACATGTGCCCGGGAAACAGTCGTGCAAAATGTGCTGCATTGATGGAGCAAAATGTTAACATTAAAGTTCAAGTTTTGGATAGTGAAGTAGTGTTCAGTAACGCGTATGACAATCATGAGCACGAATGCAAGCTTCAACACGTCTTTGCATTGACCAAATAAGCCTTTAAAGTTGTTGTTGTGGAAGGTTCTGCGATTCTGTAACGCCTGTTCAAGTTCATCCAGAGTTTGGGGGGTGAACATGGAGACTGTAAACACGACATCCGATAATGACCCAAGCATGTTCAGTGGGATTAAGATCAGGTGACCTTGCAGGCCAGTCCATACGTGTGATGTTGTTGATCTAAGCAACACCACTAACAACTCTTTCTCGAGCTTTGTGATCCATGGACGGGCATTATCATCCATAAAAATGTTGTTAGGACCCGCTTGTTGTACCAAAGGAATGATTACAGACAGGGTGTAACCGATCAGACTGCATGTGTGAAATGTGGAGCACATTCATGCCACACAGTCTGCATTTTGTTTCTGAGGGTGGTTGTGTTCGGGTGATGTAATCAATGTTATCAGATAAATCAGTTTGACAGTCACTAAAGGTTATGTATTCTTTGAATATTTACCTTTAAGTAACAGGCCGGCAAAATCGCTATCGAGATGGATAAAGATATTACACTGAAAATACTTGTAGCTTAATTTTTTGTGAGGAGTATATAAAACGTTCTGAAGACACAGTCTTGACTATCCACCGAAAACAGATTTCATTTGGTGGAAAAGAGTTAAATTATACTTAATCTAAGGAATAGGTTCGGACATTCAAGACTGATTATCTGCACCTACATCGTAACGTCATCTGAGGATAGGTCACATGTAACGTCAACGTCCGGGTCTTTAGTTGCTGGTATCCTATAGCTCGTATCCTAACTGTATCAAAATGTTATTATTGATTAGAATATTTTAGTATTTGAAATTGTTAATTTTTACGACAAATCTCTGATACCATGTTATTGTTTTAATGTCCTTTTGTCAACATATAATAATAACTAACTTGTATAGTAACAATGTTTCCTTTGGCCCCAGAATAGAAGGCCATAAAGAAAGTTGCAGATAGAATATCATCACCTGTTGTTGCCAAGTGCATTTACTGCGACCAATATGAGTGAGTGAGTGACTTACTATTTAGCGTCACATCGGCAATATTTCAGCCATATCGTGACAAGTTAATTTATATCAATATTAAAATCAATAATATTTGGAACATAAAAACCTGTCATCGAAGGACAGTAAAAACACTAGAGCCTCACGGATATAAATTTAAAACTAGTACGCTATCATAAAATTAAATCAGTATAGACAGTACAAAATAAAAACGGGCTATAGATCACCAACAACTTAAGGTAACAACCAATATGACAATAATTGGGACGTTAGCAGAATACCAGCGGGCAATAGAAACGTTAATCCCAGAACTGATCCATGTTTTAAGTGACCTTACAACAAATCATGACTGTCGACGGCGACTGCCGATGCCAGTACTCGCTGACTTGGTTGACACATGTCATCGTATCCCAGATGCTCGATGGTCATGCTGTTGTCTGTCAACCATTGGATTGTCTGGTCCAGATTTGATTATTTACGGACCGCCACCATATAGCTGGAATATTGTGCGGCGTACAGCAACAAAATAATATATCATTCAGGTATGACTGGAATATTTCCGATGCGAAACCAAATACTCACTCACTCATTCAGAAATGAATAACCATGTGTACATTTCAAGATTATTTACCCGCCGTGATATTGCTGGAATATTGCTAAAAGCGGCGTAAAACCCAACTCACTCACTGAATATTATTTAAATTTGTAGTTGATTGAAATACTGTACGCATTTATTATGATTCACCTTTGTCCGCATAAAGACAGCCTCCGTGGTGTAGTGGTAAGAGCGTCCGCCCGGAGAGCGGAAGGTCGCGGGTTCGATCCCCGACCGCGTCATACCAAAATACGTTAAAATATGGTACTTGTTGGTCCCTGCTTGGCGCTCGGCATTAATGGAGTGAGTGAGTGAGTTAAAATTTAAAGTCACTTTGGCAATATTACAGCCATATCGTGATTAAAACAAGTTGCAGATTAATATATATTGAAGGTAAATTATAAAAACCTGTCAACGAAGGACAGTAAAACAACTATATTATCAGAAATTTATAACTAGTAACCAAATCTAAAACATTTAACTATACACGACAATACAATATAAAACCAGGCTAAAGATTGCCAACAACTGAAGGTAGATCACCATACTAGGGACCATGGGAAACTACAGTACATTTGCTTCCTGCATGGACCCTAGCTGGATTTACACCATCCCTTCAACCGTTAGCAATTGAGACAAACCTAGCCATATAGCAAAATTACACATATTCTACGATTAAAAAAGTGGAGTTTTAATTTGCTGGGAATGTTTTGGGACTTACGTACCCTCTCAGGAGGACCGGCATTAATGGATACAACAAGGGCTGGTCGGCTTGGAGTCAGTATAATGTGTCTGAGTGGGGTATTCATGCTTCACTGCGGCATGGTATCTCAGTGGGCTAGCACTATAAAAACAGCTTAAGTCTGGGCTAGTACAAGCAGCCGCACATACACATACACACGCATGCACGTCGTCATATGAGCGAAATATTCTCCAGCGCGACGTTAAACCCAATTTCACCCCACCTCACCTCACCGTGTCCGTATAAGACTGTTGAGGAACTCATTTCTCAAAATAAACACATTTAACTATTGACAAAATCTGGTCTGTCATTATGAATTATTAACTATGATGTGAGAGTATTTCATCTATCACAAGATATATAATACCAATCGCCTGTATAGAGGCTAGGGGCACCATTCAGGTGGCTGCGTGAGTGATCTCTTAAATCGCTACAAAATAGACCTAGTTTATTATTCTCTCGGCGCTGTATGGCAGACACGGTTATCAAGAATATTCTATGACCGGTTGTGTGTCCGCTGACCGGAAATGGCTCCAAAGTTAATGCCGCATTAATGTCCATCGTGCGCAGATACCAGCCCACACAGTATTCACTCGTCACCTCCTTAACATGCGCGTCTAGCTCCCTATATGCATTGTCGACTGGAAGAATTGCATTCTAAAGAGCATCAGCTTACCTTAATCAGCGAATAGGAACAATGAAACATGGGTAAAGCTGTGGCGGTTACACAGAGAAACATATTTTATTTCTTCCACCTTTACGTGACTCTCTTACATTTCTTCAGGCTTAAAATTGGTCTTCAGCACCACATGTTTGTCGTAAGAGTGAGTGAGTGAGTTAATATTTTGTCGTCATTATTTCAGCCATATCGTGACGGGAACAATGTATTGCTATCAATGCAATTAGAAATTAAAATTCTGTTGTCGAAGAACAGTAAAACCATCAGTATATCACAGATATTAAAGTAAGCACTAGCATGCTATCATAAAACGATATTATTAAATAGAACAATACAATATAAAAATGGGATATAGGTTATCAACAATTGAAGGTAGATCACCATGCTAAAGACTTACAATACTTTTGCTATCTGCATAGACCATAGCTGGATTTACATCGTACCTTCAGAGAAAGAAAAATACTTTGAATTAAAAGTGTTGTGTATTTGAATCTTATACACAAGGCCGTGGCCGAACAGAACACAAAATACCATGACTTCTACGTCGAGCATTCACTCAGGAAGTGGGGGTTACAAGCAGGGGTCCCCAAGGGACGGAACTCTAATCAGCTTGCCGCTACCGTCACATAAGGCTGCAGGAGTTGTCTCCCATACATGTATCTGCCACACAAGCCCATACACTACACCATTCCCCCCTAAGTTTTCACCGCTGGAAACTTTTTGGTTGCTCCTACAAAATTGCAAGACAATTTAACACAACTGGAATATTGAAAACTGACTAGAAGCAAACTCTTCCATTTGAACAAATTAAAGTCTTTAGCAGTAAACTGAAATGTCCATATTCTTACTTTGAAAGGAAAATAGCCTAATTTGGGCGCTAATATTTACTGATAACACTGACAACACATTTACAGTCTTTTCACTTCTCACATTCATATCGAACTGGAGGACGTCGATCTCGGGTAGGGTAACGCCTCTCCTTTAGTTCTTCTGCATCCGACACCTGCTTCTGGTTGACTTCAATTTCCACTTTTGGTTCTGTCAACCCCTTAGGTCCCACAAGAACACATGGCTGCTGTGCCATCACTGTGCTTTCTGCTGATCCCAGAAACACTGACATCTCCGGGCTACCTTGTACTGACTGTCGTGAAACTTCCAGACGTGGTCTCATCTGGTCAACATGTCTCTTCCACACCTGTTGTCCGACGGAGACATGATAATTCATATCACCCAGTCGTTCCAAAAATGTCCCCTGTACCCATCTTGAGCCTTGAACTCCAAAGTTCAAAACAAAGACAGCTTGTCCCACATTGAAGAATCTTGGCACTTCAGTTTCTGCATCATCATTTTTGATCATCAATCCTTCTCGTGTCGGTCTCAACGCTGATAACCTAGTTCGTAATGAGCGCCTCATGAGCAACTCAGCTGAGGTCTTCCCTGTTGCAGCATGGACAGTCGTTCTGTATGAGAATAAGTACCTCTGCAGTTTGTCATGAACATCACCTGTTTGGTTTTTCATTTTCTTTAGTGCCATCTTGAAAGATTCCACAGCTCTCTCGGCTTGTCCATTAGTAGCTGGGTGGTTTGGTGCTGTCCTAGTGTGACGAATGTTGTTCCTCCTCAAGAATGTATGGAATTCTTCAGAGGTAAACTGTGCCCCATTGTCGGATACAATGTGCTCTGGAAGACCAAATGTTGCGAAGATTTTTCTGAGATGCTTGATAGTGACTGTGGCTGTGGTTAACGATAATGGAATAACTTCCATCCATTTGGAATGTGCATCCACCACGACTAAGAAATAGTTTCCTTGGAATGGTCCGGCAAAGTCGATATGAAGTCGTGACCATGGCAATGGTGGCCACTTCCAACTTGTCGGCGGAGCTGCTGCAGGTTGATTTGCTATCTCCTGGCAATCAAGACATTGTCTCACCTTTTCCTCAATCTGACTGTCTAGTCCTGGCCACCACATGATTGATCTGGCCACCGACTTCATTCTTACCATTCCTGAATGTTCACCATGCAGCTCTTTCAACAGTGCCTCTCTGAAGTCACTTGGGATAACTACTCTTGTGCCCCATAAGACAACACCTTGCTCCACACTCAGTTCCAAATTTCTCTGGAAATATGGCTTCAAGTCTGTTTGATCTCCCTCAATATACTGTGGCCATCCTTCCAGTGTGAGCAATCGAACTTGTCGTAACACTGGGTCTTTCCCAGTTTCCATAGCAACTTGCCTTGCAGTGATAGGCAATTCTTCGTCAAACCTATTGATCAGAAGGATCAACTCACTGTTGTGATCTCCACTGTCATCTTGCTCTGATATGAGGGGCAGTCGTGACAACCCATCAGCTGGAACATTCTGCTTAGAGGTTCTGTATTCAATCTCGTAGTTGAATGAAGCAAGTATCAGTCCCCATCTTTTGATGCGCGATGCAGCCATCACTGGAGTTCCCTTTGAAGGCGAGAACAATCTCAGTAATGGACGATGATCTGTCACCACCGTGCAATGACGTCCCAGCAGGTATTGTCTGAATTTTGACACTCCAAAGACAATGGCAAGTCCTTCTTTTTCCAACTGTGAGTAGTTTTGTTCTGTGCTGGTCAGTTTTCGAGAAGTGTATGCCACAGGTCTCTCTTCCGAATTGATGCGGTGCTGCAGCACAGCTCCAACTCCGTATGGTGAAGCATCACAGGATAGTACCAAAGGTTTATCCAAACTGTAGTGCACCAGGAAGGTATCGTTGACTAAGAACTCTTTTGATTCCTGGAATGATTTTTGTTCCTTCTTTGACCAGTACCAGTCCTTGTCCTTCTTCAGAAGATCATACAGTGGTGCCACTGTACTTGCAAGGCTAGGCATGAACTTTGCATAGTGATTCAGCATTCCCAGATATGACCTGAGTTCAGACACATTCTTGGGTTCTGGTGCTTGTTGGATTGCCCTGACCTTTTCTTCGGTTGGATGTATTCCTTCCTTATCCACTTTGAAACCAAGGAACTCCACCTGTTTCAGGAAAAACGTGCACTTGATCTATCTCAGTTTCAGTCCTGCTTTTTGTAGTACTCCTAGTACTGCCTTCAGGTTGGACATATGTTGTCGCTTGTTGTGGCCAGTGACACATATGTCATCCATGAACACGACCACTCCTTTCAGCCCTTTGAGAACCATCTCAATTGTCCGCTGGAAGAGTGCTGGTGCTGTGCTCACACCATATGGTAAACGTTTGAACTGATAAAGCCCTTTGGAAGTGTTGATAGTAGTCAGTCTTCTTGACTTCTCATCAAGTTCCAACTGCTGATAAGCATGTTTTAAGTCCAATTTGGTGAATTCCTCACCTGCATTCAAATTGGCTAAGAGCTCTTCCACCTTGGGAATTGGGTAAGTCTCCACTTGTAGAAACCTGCTGAGAGTTGTTTTGTAGTCCCCACACAGCCGCACTTCTCCAGATGACTTCAGGACGGGAACAACTGGAGTGGCCCATTGTGAGTACTTCACTCTCTCAATAATATCTTCCTTTTCCATTCTATCAATTTCTTCCTCCACCTTTTCTTTCAGCGCAAGTGGTACTGTGCGAGCTTTGCAGAATACTGGATGGGAGTCTGTTCTGACATCTAATGTCACTGTGCATTCCTTGAGATGTCCTAGACCTTCGTCAAACACTTCCGGGAATTCTGTGAACAGTTGACCAATGCTGTCTTGGTCCCATCCCCGAAGATTTGATGTTGTGTGTTGAGAGAACACTTTTCCAAGGTTCCATGTTCCAGTTTCTTCCTAACAACGATGAGCCATTCCCGTCCACCACAACTAGAGACAGTGTTCTGATCTCTGGCTCCGTGTCAACCTTCACACTTAGTTTTCCCAATACTGGAATGTTAGTTCCTAGATATGCTTCTAGTCTGCATGTGCTTTCAGTCAATGGCATGTTTGGAAATGTTGACTTGTAGACTTCCTTATTGACTAAGGTAACACCTGACCCTGAATCCACCTCAAACCTCATCGGCTTTTCATTTACCATCACAGTCTTCTTCCACTTTCCAGTACCTCCTTCCAGCAGTACAGAAGAAATCATGAACCGTTCCTCAAACACATCTTCATGTTCTTGCTCCTCAACATCAATGTGATGAGTAGATTTCTTAGGATTACCCTTGGGCTGTTTCCTTTTTGTATCCTCTGTTTTAGCGCTCTGGCACGCACGGAAGATGTGTCCAACCTTTCTACAGTTATTACATTTGGCTGAAATGTAAGGACAATTTGGTGGCAGATGTTCTGTCGAGTTGCACCTTGTGCATGGTTTGTACTTGTCACCTTTAATTTTGTTTCTTGGTGGTCCAGTTCTCTGAGATGTTGACAACTTGTTGACTGAGGAGGTGCTGCCTTGAATCGCCTTGGCTACCTTGTTGGCAGTTTCCATCGACAACGCTATTTGATAGGCTGCTTGGAATGTCATTGTAGCTTTCTCCTGTAACAACCGTCGTCTAATTGCTTCACTGTACACCCCGGCAACAAATCTGTCTCGTAACCACATTGTCAAATGTCCATCATAATTGCAATCTTCTGCAATTCTGCGCAGGTTAGCCACAAACGTATTTATGCCTTCATCTGCTCTCTGAACTGTCCTATTGAATGTACAGCGAGCTGTAATAACGTTAGGAGGGGGGTGAAGATGTTGTGAAAGTTTGTCTATTACATCCTTAGATGTTTGATCACTTACTTTCGCTGGTGAAAATAAGTCACGTGCCAATTTGTATAGTTCGTCTCCCATGGACGAAATAAATATGTGAATAATTCTTTGGTCATCCACTATATTATTTGCCGTCATGCTCGATTGGAAACGTTCAGCATACGTTGGAAAATCTTCCTTCTTACCTGAAAATTTGGGAACAGGCACACAAAAAGTGTTGACTGGTGTTGTTTCTTCTTTCTCCATGACGAATATAAACCCACAGCCTGATAAATGATCCTTATCGTAATAAGAATAAAAAGTCCAAATCAGGAACACGTGGTTTCACTGTTTGAATGTCACACTGGCCTATTTCCACGCTGCTTTGATTCGTAGATCGTTAAAAACGTTTAAAGAACTCGTAGTTCAACTTGCCGTAGCTTGTTAGCGGGATCCCATCCTCGTCGCCAATTATTCTGTTGTGTATTTGAATCTTATACACAAGGCCGTGGCCGAACAGAACACAAAATACCATGACTTCTACGTCGAGCGTTTACTCAGGAAGTGGGGGTTACAAGCAGGGGTCCCCAGGGGACGGAACTCTAATCAGCTTGCCGCTACCGTCACATAAGGCTGCAGGAGTTGTCTCCCATACATGTATCTGCCACACAAGCCCATACACTACAAAAAGGTACTTACGTACCCTCTCAGTCGGACGCTTGCCGTAAGAGGCGGGATCGGCAGGTCAGACACGCTGACTTGGTTGACACATGTCAACGTATCCAATTGCGTAGATCGATACTCATGTTGTTGATAACTGGATTGTCTGGTACAGACTCGATTATTTACAAACCGCCACCATATTGCTGGAATATAGCAGAGTGCAGCGTTAAACAACAAACCAAATCTTAACGAGATGAACGGTGAAGTCAGCCTTGCGCTGTATTGTTTTTAAGACGTGTTACAATTAGCGTGTGTTACAGCTCGAAGGATACCAGTGCAATAGATGTAGTTATCATATTCTGCACAATTAAAACGGAACAAACAGGTATAAAGATATAATTCAAGGCATTTTACTTTAAGATAATGTGACAACATACATAGAGAAAATGTTTAGCAAGTGTCAAACAATATAAGGTTGGTGTGCATCTTGAGAGTAAATTAATAATGGTATATCTTACATGCCACGACATCCCATTGATGGCTTTATGCATTGCTATAAGATCATTTCAACACCCAACACGCAAGGGCGCCATAGTCTTAGGAAAATGATGTGGCTCTACCCCATTCGTTTTCACTGCATACAATAAGCGGACAGGGGAACAGAATTTCACTGTTTAGATCTTTGACAATTAAACAGATGGGTTAATTCAGGACTTACGCAAGTTCCCCCATGACCACAAAGAAAGGGCAACAGACATCGTTAAAATGTGGTTCTATTAATATGATGTTTTAATCTCTATACGCTATACTTGGAAGGTTTTCGTATTGAACTTTATGCAATGGTTAGCTGTAACCATAACTTACGTCTGGAAAGTCTTGCGACATTATTTCAGTGACATTATCAATGATCAAAGGTACTGTCGTCATTAAAATTGTATTACCACGAAGCTTATAATTAACTCCGTACTAAAATCTAAAAGTAACTAAAGTCTGGCCTAACCTTCTAATAATTAAACCCAGTGACGATAACACAAAATGTCAAAGTAATATTGAGATGACAGGACATATAATAGAATTCCACATCTTGCTGGCCACTCCTGCTAAACTTTGAACACACTCATTGTCCGCCATTCAACATTGCAATGGACACGTTGACCTCGAGACCACAGAACACAGTCGTCCAAGTCGTCAGGCACCCGTGAAAAGATGAAGATGTCGGCTCATGGCCGGTGTCGTGTCTCCCTGCCACTGGACAGGGACACACTAACAGCCATGGACGATGCTATGGCCATCACTCTGACGTACCTTGGCATGGCTGGTATGATGAAGAAGACTGCCACTGCCGAAGCGCAGCAGGTGTATTGTCCGTGACCACGTGGACGAGACGTAGATCGACACCATCCAAATAGCACAACAAGAGAAACGCATAGACTATCTTATCACCACCTGGATCGTCTCAAGGGACAGACTACTGACTGACTGAGTTTGGTTTTACGCCACTTTTAGCAATATTCCAGTAACATCACGGCGGGGGACACCAGAAATGGGCTTCACACATTGTACCCATGTGGGGATTCGAACCCGGGTCTTCGGCATGGCGAGCCAACGCTTTAACCACTAGGCTACCCCACCGCCACCCAGGGACAGACTAACCTGGAACCACTTCCACTGCCACAGAACGAACAATAACCTTGGAGGATGGCTCCAAAGAATAAACCAGCTGCATGCTATCCTAACATCTGTGACTTTATAACCATGTTAAACAGGGCCCTGTCAAGCAGCTGCAGCGAATTGAAGATGGCGTTTCTTACAGAGAAACAGACGTAAACGTGTTAAGAGAAGACGAGACATTGCAGTGGATCAAGGGTCTTAGAAAACCGGATTCTGCCATGGAAGACACAGATTTAGCTGAACACCAGCTCGGGTTTTGGGAATTTACCCTATGTAAGAAGTGTGTAATCCTATTTAGTTAAGGTGCTGAGCAATTCCCTTTCATGAATGAACCAGCGTTCAAATCAATATATCACATCGTATCGTGTGAACTCCCGAATAAGATCATATCATCACTTTATGTTATCATGAAATCAACGCATTTTAACTATCCACCTGTCATGACTAAAACAACGCTGGGTCTAAAACACAACATTTTTCAGTCACTTAAAGCGGACTCCCTGATACGTTTGCCGATATATTGTTACAATACCGAGATACATCATTGGCCGAATATAAGGTATATACTTTTGTTCATCACTGAAGATGTTGATGCCGATGCCGGTCTGTGGGATGGGATTTAATATGAAAAGAAACGTTGTAAGGCTGTAAAACGAAACACAACCCCTAGTTAATACAGCACAATTTCTTGCGTGCTTCATTACAGCATCCATCACATAAAGGTGTCTCTTGTCCGGCAGTGTAACTGGAAAAACTCTTTCATTGTCGATTAGGCTATTTCATCTTCCACGTGTGAAGTAATGGCTTTGTTAACGATCTCCCGATTTTGGACCTTGTGTAATTTCTGATGCATAGTGATCGATTTTAGGGACGTTCATAACAGAGGGTCAAATAGCAAACACATTGAGTCTACTTGATTCAGGTTCAAAAACTTTCATACTATACTATTTCCATGCAACATTGCAGCGTATCTGTGGTGTGAACACACAGATATACACATGCACTACCAACCCACACACGCCACTATCACAAATGGCATTTAACCACACACAACATAGCAATGAAACGGCACACGTTCGCACAGATACACATGCTAGCTCAAACACATACACACATCACTGTCACAAACTCATAACCGCCCACAACACCAGTTCGCGGTACAGACACACGCAGACACAGACAAACACGAAGAGGGAGACAAACACAAAACACACACGCGCGCGCACACACACACATACAGAGAGACAGACAACACATTACCACATGCTATCAGGTCCACTCAGCTACTCGTATACGGGAAAAGGCTGAATTTCAATAACAGCAAATCCTTGACCCCATCTGTTTATCAGATGTAGCGACAAAAAGATTCATCTTGAGCTACTAAATTGCTAAACTTTGGATATTTCATCTAGCTTGTAAAGTAATTATTTTCACTAATACTATATGCTATCGTTAGATCTGGAACGTGTAAGAAAAGAAATGTCGAGGTGTCAGCCACAGAACATGTTTGATGATTATCGTTCCAACAGTGAAGAGGCTTTCTGAATATTTCACATTTCTACTGAACCAAAAAGAGTCCTTCTTAGCCTCATCCTTTGATTTATGCGTTCTTCATTGACTCGTTGACAGTTGACAAATCCGTGCTGATGACTCGTGAACGTCAGCGTGCTGAAGGCATGTTCTTTATGTGTTTTACAATGGCTGTCGGTTCCCTTGATAATATTCCATGACAGTATGTCATAGTTGACTTTGCTGCATTTAAACCCATTAGTAACGTGTAAGGTCGTAATTCTTTGAAAAGTAATCAACAGGATCGGTGTTGGGGAACCTCTTGTATCACATATGGCAATCCGATATTGCCTGGATCTGTAAATGTTAGGGACCAGTTCAAAAGTTCGACGTCGGTTAAGTAGCTTAAGTTAATTTAAGGGACGGGTGGTATGGGGGGTGATGACCCTGCGAGACTTTTAAGCGAATCAAATCAACTTACCTTACTTGTGATTCGCATTGCATATTTCAGTTACGAAAACAAGTAAATCCCTACCAGGATCCCACATATATCACAAGGTCGTTATCGCCGACAGAGCGAGTTGAGAGTAACAGTAACAGTGGGCTGCAAGCTCTTATCAGTGCTGCTAATGTAAAATCAACCACTGCTGCCATGAAATACATGTGCTTTTTGCACGAGGAGGGTTTTTGCCGTCGCTGGCATTTTTCATTCCTTTTGTAAATACTTCAGGATTCTGTTCATGAATAAATATTGAATAGTACTGAAATATGTTCGTAATTGTTCCTGACAGAAGGAATACAAAAATGTTTTACCATACATGGAACTTTTGAAATGGCCCCTTACCAAAAGACAGTGGTAACGTCTTCTTCATGCATACGACGCATATGAATGAGTGAGTAAGTTTAGTTTTACGCCGCACTCAGCAATATTCCAGCTATATGGCGGCGGTCTGTAAATCATCGAGTCTGGACCAGACAATGAGCACTGATCTGCGCAATTCGGAACCGATGACATTTGTCAACCAAGCCATCGAGCCTGACGACCCGATCCCGTTAGTCGCCTCTTACGACAAGCATGGGTTACTGAAGACCAGTATTCTAACCCGGACCTTAACGGGTACATGAATTTTGATTGTTTGATCGGAATTCTAGATGCTGGTGAATCTGTAATGAAGCATACGACTATGCTGGTAAGAACTTCTTGCTTATTGCATAGGGCGGCGATTCTGTGACACTGTATATTCTTGCACCGTTTTCAAACTGAAAAGCTTCAGCTTGAAAACAGTGTAAGAATTGACACCGAAACGTCGCTCTATGCAATAGATAAAGCTGTTGTCCTCAATGTCGTATATGTCGTATGCATCATTAACTGATAAATTGTATGGTTTGGGCCAGGGTGACAAGTATAGGCTATTTCTTAGAGGACAGAAAAAACGATATTATGGCTGATGGTTTCTGCTTGTTCACTGGCTGATGGAAATACCGACGAATCCATCCGTTTAGTACAAAACGTCACATATACAAACGAGTGTTTGAGTTACAGTGCACGTTGACGACAGAGGGCATTTTGCGCGACAAATTCCCTTGATGCCTGAGACAAGTATTCTTGATGGGTTTGTGCAGAAGGAGAGAGCAGTGCAAATCACATTTGGTGTGGGTCAAAGATGGCTAGGGTTGATTTGGCAAGTACATCCGTTTTATGGCTTGACCAAGTTTTATCAGCTGAGGTAATTTTGTAGCCTTGCGTCGATGGTAACCTGAGGGGTCTAATTACGTTACCTTCTACTTTCACCTTGCTTCAGTCTCTTGGATACTAAAGTGACGATGCTGTTCACTCAAGTGATCTGCTTTGTCATTGATGCTGTCAGAAACAGCTAAATTAGGGCATGTCTTTTTGACGGATGACCTTTTTTCGTTTGTTCATGGTGATACATAAACTCAGGATTAATGGTTGTAATTCTGAAGCTGTATTCAGTATAACGCATAGTGTCTTTCCAAATGTGTGGGTTCGGGAATGAAATTAATGCGCATGCGCGATGAAGTGTTCTCTGTGTTAGAGAATATGGTGTTAGTGTCGGTGAACAGCTTAATATGTCTCTGGGATGATGTTAAAGTAAATGTTGACAGATATTATCCCCTCCCTATATACAGTAATTACTTACTTAAATCATCTGTTAGCAAAACTTGTCTCGGGTCATTTGGAGCAAATTTAATCACCACTCATAACTCGTAGATTGTTAGACATAATCTCAATTATACCTTTGGAAAGGTGGAGTATATTATTACGTGTTGATTCCTAGGTTGAAACTAAAACGTTAACTGGGAATCAGTACGGGAGAGAACTAGGTGTGAAATCAACAAAGAAATATGATACAATTAACTATTGTATTCTAATTGTATTCGGCTGTGTTTACATATTAATAGTTATAACTACAACTGCGGCAGTACAAAACAGAGTGCAAGTACAAATTCAAAGATAATAGTGAGTGACTGAGCATGGTTTTATTCCACTTTCAGCAATATTCCAGCAGGGGGACACCAAAAAGAGGCTTCACACATTGTACCCATGTAGGGAATCGAACCCGGGTCTTCGGCGCGACGAACGAACGCTTTAACCAAAAGGCTACTCCACCGCCCTACCGGTAATATTGTACAAGAGCAGTTATTTAGCCACAAACAGAGTGCTGGTAATATTCACCTTTCAGCAACGGTAATCCGTCTTGCCAAACTAGGGTATAATGATCATCACTCACAATGCCGGTCTCCTTGGAATATGAGATGAGATGCAAGAGTTCACTCCCCTAACATACTTATGCTATTCTCCAAATCCCTTGGCCACAATAACCCATACCTCAGTAGTACCTTCCAGAATTCTGACTAGATATAACATATCACTGCCCGTCACTGGACATGGCATATACACATTCACATTAATCGATCAAAATGAGGAGTGACACCCGAAGCACGTGTATGGGCTACGGCATGTAACCTATCGGATCGGTGTTCACAGGTAAACATGTTTGTCGTCATCCCTAATCTAGGTCCCAAACACGTTGCTGTTAACTTCAAACTGCTCATCCACTGTTTGCCGGATGAGTATATATGTAAACAAAACCGAACAGACAAAATCGCTTTCAGTTGGACAACAAGTATTATTAACAAATCAGTTAGGTAAATAATATCCCTCATTAAGCAGACAACATTTACACAGTAATTGACCTTCTTTCTAAGTGTCAAAATGAGGAATGACACCCTAAGCACGTGTATAGGGCTACTGCATGTAACCTATTGGATCTGATTTTACAGAAGAAACATTCCAACTTTAAGAAGAAGAAGAAGAAGAAGTTTATTCAGTAGTATTTGGGTAATAAGGCCTATAATACAGTTGACAGATATAATATAAATTTCACGTGATCATAAACATTTTGGTTTCATATAGATCTTATTTTGAATATTTCATTGCGGTAGATCGCTGTTAGGTGTTGTACATTACTGTGTTGTGACATGAAAATTGCCTGAGTGTTTAGTGAGTCTGTGTAGACTGATCGTAGCTTCTGTAGATATAGAGTTCTGGCTTGGTTATACTTGTCACAAACAAAAACTACGTGGTTCTCGTCTTCATTAAGGTTATAATTACAAAGTTCACAGATGGGGTTGATCCTAGTTGTATCTTTATTGGTTCTTAGCTTGTTTATCTTGAAGTTTGTTAGGGAAGCTCTAAATTTGAAGTAAACTCTTATTAGCTTTTTGTTCCTGATGTTCGTGATATATGATTCCCTTTCCAGTGAATACTTGAATGAAGCGTGGTGGGTAAGGAAACTTGAACTGTTTATCTCATGATGCCATAGTGATATATCTTTGTGGCGCCGTGTTAAACATGATAAGAAATAGTTTACATCTCCGACATCCTGTGCGATCCATACATGTGCGAATCTTATGTTGAACAATGTTTCTCGTATCAGAAGTCCAGTTTCATTTTTCCTACATCGTCGAGTAATTTAAGCATTCGGTAACACTGGTGTGCGTGCCGATCGGTTGTCATTCGTAGAGCTTTTATCCAGTAGTACTTGATGGCCTTTACTTCTGTCGTTATAAAAATCAAATGTCTTCCAGTGTCGCCAAGAATTGCCTTGCTTGAAGCAAATTTTCCAACTTTGAGAAGGCGTTTAAAGTAGTTTGTCTGAACTTGTTCAATTGAAGCTGAATACTTGCATCCCCACACTTCTGCTCCATAGAGGAGTATTGGTAAAATTTTAGTGTCGAATATCGTACATGCAGTTGAAAATGTTATTTCTTTATTTTGCTGTAGGAATCTGTTTATTGCGAGGCATACCTTACTAGCTTCCTGTGCGAGAGTGTCACATACTTTGGTCCATACCAGTCGTGATGAGAAGATAAGTCCAAGGTATTTGTAGTAGGTCACGGTTTCGATAGGCAGTCCTTCACAAGTTCATTTTTCATTCTGTGCTAGTTTTCCACCGTTTCTAAAAACTATAATCTTGGATTTATTAAAATTCAGCTGTAGTCCTGATTCTGAGCAGTAGGATTCCAGTATGTTACGCTGTCTCTGTGAGCCGATGATGGTAAACGAAAATAACGCAACGTCATCCGCAAAAAGTAGGAGCATCAAGTCTTCAATATCTTGGGTGACGAATATTTCACTTGTACACGATCTATACATAGCTGTTACAAGTTCATATATTCCAACATAGACATGTTTGTCATCATCACTAATCTACGACCCTAACTGGTTATTATTCACTACATTACTTTTTATCCACTATTTGCTGGATGAGAATGTGTGTTATAGATTTTTCTCCTAGCTAGCATTATGTATATTACTATTCCACCAGATATGATTACCAACTGGAAACTGTAACTTAAATTTCGTGTACGGAGTAATTATCCATAGAGTAACAGTCGTACACAAGGGGGATTTGTTGTGTAAAATTACAGACATGTGCATGCATCAACATGCATTAAGTGATAGTGCCATCGATATAATATTTCTAAATTAGATATAAATAACATATAACTGATAAGTGACAGACTATTTATCAGTAGGAGGGGACGGAGTGTGGTTGTTCCTCTGAACGGAAATGTATAATTGATGTCGCTACGTTCAGTTGGAATTAACCCGGAAGTAGGCTAGTGGTTAAAGCGTTCTCTCGTCACAGTGAAGACGCTGGTTCGATTTCCCACATGGGTACAATATGCGAAACCCATTCCTGGTGTCCCCTGCCGTAATCTTGCTTTAATATTGCTAAAAGTGGGGTAAAAAACATATTCACTTCAGCTGACATGTGAGTAGCGCATGAAACACCATTATTGTTTCCAGTTAAGTGAATTTCTCGTCCTAAGTGGATATGAAACGGTCGGGGCTTACTGGGTCATAAGTCACACCATAGTGCACTGATGAATCATCTTTTGTTATTGATTTTGACAGATCCGAGTCCGCGTACCAAACACAAAACAATAAATCTGTATTTGAAGAATTCACGATGGACACGCATTTGTACATGTTCAATGTTACCTGCGGATGGAGCTGAATAACGAAGCTTCTAGTCTGACTTGGATCGCTGTGGTCAGAATCAATGCCCACACTACCATCTTCATCAACAAACCCATAAACATGGATACATGATGTCACGATAACTGTGGATGTTACGAGTCGTTGGTTGATTAAGTGATACGTGGAGTCGAGGGACGTGAAGTATCTCAAAACGTTTTGATGCTTAAATCTGATTGTTTTCGCTTGAATTGTCTAAATGATAAATTCATCTAACACTCGAACACAAACATAGACGTCCAACATGTGAAACACCGGTTGGTCTTGGTACTTCCGAGAGTAGGCAAACAGTTTGCGAGCAGGTAAAAGGTTAGACAATGTTGATTCGCCACTGTTGCAGCGCATCAACGTCTATAAAGAGGAACCAGCCTCCTGTCTGCGATAATTAGTTCAGTGCTGCAGGCGAATGTCACCGCTGTGAGAGCGCTGAGGATTCTAAGATGAAACAGAATATTATCTGCTCTGATCGACCATAAACGGCGTGAGACATCACAGTATAACAAGGCGAGTTACAGGTAAGTTATGATATTCGTATTGATGCATATTTTGTTATTCAAAATAGAGAAGAACGCATGTGCTAATCACTGCCTTTATAATTTTTTTGTGCAATATTGGAAAAGAGAACTCGGACCGTAGTTTTAGAACATTGTAATTACAAAATTTTCAAATGCAACAGTGGCGATTATGTAAATTCTTGCTACTTTATATACTGTATATGTTACTGTACAATAATTCATAAACGCATGCTTATGAATAACTCGGAATGATGTATACTGAAGTGGACACAGCAGACATGTCATCTGGTTATGAATTTTGTGACATATCTTATGATCATTCTAGCATTAGTGTTAGCAAGGGAACACGTATGACTATGCCTATGTCACAAGGGATCATACTGGAAAACATCATAAGTGATAAATATTTCAATGTAAAAAACAGTCAAGGATCATTTTACAAAGGTAAATTTTCATTTAATTATTGTTGTTTAAAAGAGATCGATTTATTTGATGAATTCTGATTAATGTGTTTTGTAAATAGCTATATTGTAAAGATTGGTAGTTTAGATTAGTAACTTAGATTGTGAGTTGGCGTACCCTCAAAGGGGGTTAAATTATTGTAAAATTGTTGTCCTCCTGAGAGGGTACATACATAAGTCCCAAAACTTTCAGAGTAAAATATAAATTTACCACATTTTAAACCTAGTATTTTTGTTATTTTAACTGTTGGCCAAATTTTCCTACAATCGCCAGCGGCTGAAGGGATGGTGTAAATCTAGCCTGGGTCCATGCAGGTAGCAAAAGTAATGTAAGTCCCCATGGTTCCTAGTATGGTGATCTACCTTCAGTTGTTGGCGATCTATAGCCCGTGTTTTATACTGTATTGTCTTCTTTAATTGAAATGTTTTAACTTTGCTCGCTAGTTTTATATTCACATCTGTGATTCTCTAGTATTTGTACTGTCCATCGTCGACAGCTTTTAATCCTCCAAAATGTTTTCACTTTTTACTGTATAAATTGTTTTCGTCACGATATGGCTGAGATATTGCCGACGTGATGTAAAATATTAATTAACTCACTCACTCACTCAAACTGGAAAAAGTTCAATTTGCAACTGTAAACATTATTCCCCATTATCCCATCGTAGTATCACGTCATCGATATATCGTCATACTGAATATATGATGAGATTAGTAAAGTGGTTAGGGATTTCTGCCATGCTAAACATGAATTGGTGACAGGTCGTTTCACCACACATGCAAACTACATGTTGGCCAATCATAATGAAGGTCTGGGTTCGCTTCCACACAATGAAGCTTCGAGTTACCCGAGGTTCGAACCAAACGCAAAATTATGACAATAGAAGGAATACGCAGTGAAGTTTTTACTTCGAGACAAGCATTAACTCGACAGAACGGTGTTTGACTGCACCACTTGCATCTATGTCACCTATACCGTTTCCCATAATGTTTCCCATAAGCGTTCATGATTTCATAAATCTTGCATTTTACAACAAGTACATATTGTCGCACTAACACATTTTTCCTCATCGGTATGGACATTTTCTTGGCAAAAGCCGTATCTGTTGCGCCAGCTAAATAAGCTTTCTTGTCACATTCCTATCACTATTCTTTTTCACCTATCTGGCACTAATGTGTTATGTGGAGTACACTCTTTCCTGGAGTATACTCTTCCTGGAGTATACTCTGTCCTGTAGTATACTCTTCCTGGAGTATACTCTTTTCTGGAGTATACTCTTCCTGGAGTATACTCTGTCCTGTAGTATACTCTTCCTGGAGTATACTCTTTTCTGGAGTATACTCTTCCTGGAGTATACTTTTTCCTGGAGTATACTGTTCCTGGAGTATACTCTTTCCTGGAGTATACTGTTCCTGGAGTATACTCTTTCCTGGAGACTACTGGAGTATACTCTTTCCTGGAGTATACTCTTTCCTGGAGTATACTCTTCCTGGAGTATACTCTTACCTGGAGTATACTCTTCCTGGAGTATACTCTTTCCTGGAGTATATTTTCCTGGAGTAAACTGGAGTATACTCTTTCCTGGAGTATACTGGAGTATACTCTTACCTGGAGTATACTCTTCCTGGAGTATACTCTTTCCTGGAATATACTCTTCCTGGAGTATACTCTTTCCTGGAGTATACTCTTCCTGGAGTATACTCTTCCTGGAGTATACTCTTTCCTGGAGTATACTCTTCCTGGAGTATACTCTTCCTGGAGTATACTCTTTCCTGGAGTATACTCTTTCCTGGAGTATACTCTTTCCTGGAGTATACTCTTTCCTGGAGTATACTCTTCCTGGAGTATACTCTTTCCTGGAGTATACTCTTTCCTTTCATAACGTACTAAAGGTGGTACGTTTATCGTGAGACGCGTTTTGACTTGGTGACCGTGACCTAGGTCACACCAGAGGTCCCTGTTTTATCACAAACAATCACGAGCCGCCATTACAAGTGTTGTGGAACAGGAGGGCTGTCGTTTCCTATTCCATTGGTGACCATAGCCTTCGACTGATGTCACTGCACTCTATGCGAGCAGATTCGAGTTAGTTGATTTTTGTCAGTGCAATGCCGTACAATTAACATGACTATTTCCTGCGAACGTTCTTCTTCCCTATTTATGTCCGACTAGATGTGTTAGTACGAAGCAACAGCTGTTCAGAAAGAGTAGATTTCAACGGTACTGTTCGCCCCCTTGGTACTTAGTATCGTGATTTACCTTCCGGTAGATGCGATCTATAGCCCGATTACATTCTGTCAAGATGAGTAATAGCAATTTCTCATAAAGGCCCTAATTCCGGTTTTATACACAATTCATGATATTTTGTCTGTACACCGTCCAGGATCACAAAAGGAAGCTAACTATTTTCATTGAAGAGTTTGGATACCGGAGATGGGGAGTCTGAGTTATGTTTTCTTACAGTTGGCTTGCTCACAACAAACATGTGGCTGAATTAGCATTAGTTGAAACAAAATAAACACCCATCTTGGTCGTTGCTGCTGCCATGCTTGCACACACAATAGCAGGAACAGAAATTCATTTGACTGGAAATATCCGCTATACCCTATAAATATATATGGACATTCATGAGTAACTAACTGCAAAGATATGGTCTCTTTAATGAACGAAAACTGTTTATTTAATCGTAGATGCACAATTAATGTCGATAGTAGCTACAATTCCATCACACATAACCTCGTAATATATCATTTGTGCCAAACTCGTGAATTAAATTTACTATATTTTGAAGTTAAGTTGAAAGGTTTTAAAAACGATTACGGTTTACGGTTTAACAGCTAACTGTTTTGCTAGATCGATTTCACTGAATATAAAAGTCAACGTTAGAGGATACCCTGCCTCGACCGTCCACTGAAGCAATTTGAAATGCACAAATAAGCCGTGTAAAATATAAAACTGTGAACATGGCCTACCCATCAGTAGCACCCAGCGCTCACACAGTTTAAATTCTACATAATATAGTCAGTGTGTGTAACTGTGTGAATTAATTATTTTCATAGCTCGCCTGTGATGTGCTGAAAACGTGTAAGTGATTTATTCACAGTAGTCATCAGCTGTTTTGGAGAATGGGATGAGACTGGGTACATTATTGTAAGGTTTGTTTTTATGTTGTTTTAATGGTGGAATTAGAAAGCAACACAGAGATCAAAGTATACTTTGGCACAAGTATCTTCACAGACGTACAGGGAAGGGGATGCAAGGGTCTACTCACAATTCCATCTACATACCTGCGTTCCTAATGCGTTCCAGCCATGTATTCCATTTCCTCTATGTGACTTTAAGGACTACTTAAACCTGATTAATGAATAGGAGGTTTCAAAGAAATGAGCTCATTGGACGACCGCATCACAACGTATTCATAGAACGGTGCTTCTTTTGCGATCATTGTCAGCCGTTACGAGAATGTGTGGCAAAACATTTAGGGGTAAAACATGATTAATTTGAATGGGAATCAAAAGGATCAACAGAGAACTTGAAATATGGAGTATTTAATTTTATTTTTATAATTTTTGTGAGTTGTGATATCGTGAATGGCGCAGTCAAAATGTGACGTAACCGTTGGAAAACACGCTACACATTGATCTCGCAGTCTCATTATTTTAAGCAACTTGTACTTGACAACTACTACCTTTCAACCGGCATGGCGTATATTTAAGAAAAGGAAAAAATATATTAAAAGGCATCCTGGTGAGCTGTTTTAAAACGATTTAATTTAAAATCCGGGTTAAAAAATAGATTCAAGTAATAGAATCTTCAACACGTCGTGCTTGTGGTAAGAGTCGACAATCGGGATCATGATGTCAGGTTCAATACTTTTCTGATGCATGTCATTGAATCCAAGTTAGGAACATCAATAATTATGATGTCAATCATTTCGTCCATACTGGATGATTTACAGACCGCCGTCATATAGTTGCAACTTCACTGGGTGCGAAGTTAAACAGTGACGACCTCAATTCCAGTGCCCGTTGATATTGCAGAGTAGTTAAGATCCTAGCGAGCGTGGAACAACAGCCGTCAGGTGAGGACCATGCTTAATGTTGAATTGTGAGTTTCGAGATTGAGATGATACTGAGCGGGGATACCAATTAGAGGCAGCCTGACGTTTATGACACACGTGTCTAATGTGTTTTTGTTGTTTTTGTTTTGGAGTAATATGGCATGCCAGCAGTGTTTGACAGAGACCTACGAGCTGGTTGATCTAAATGTTTCGATGCTAGCCTGAAAATACAAATAGAGGTTTAAGTCTCCACTGGATCTTCCTGTTTGTTGCCGCACTCACTAATATTCAAGCCATGTAGCGGAGGTCTTTAATTAATCGAATCTGGACAAGTCAATCCAGTGGTCAGCATCATGAGCATCGAAATTCGTAATGACAGGTGTCTGACCACACGATCTCGTAGCCTGTTACAAGCTTTTTTTTTTCTTTTTTTTTATTTATTTCAGTTCTAAGTGTTTCGAACTGTTTCAGCAGGTGT